AAGTCCCTGGCTCTTTCTGTGAGCAGACACTGTAGGGGTTCTCCCAATGGACTAAAGGGGTAGCTCGGTAGTGTGGTAGTGTGCTTAGCACACTTGAGGCCCCGGGGAGAAAAAAGGAATCCTAGCTAGGCAGAGTGTCACATGTCTAGAACCCCAGAACTTGGGAGGCTGAAATAGAAGAATGGAAAGTTCCAGGCCAGCCTGAGCTATATGGTAAAATGCAATTAAAAATAATAATAAAGTGTGGGTTGGGGGGAGGGAGGAAGCCAGGCATAGTAGTACATGCCTTTAATCTCAGCACTCAGAAAGCAGAGGCAGGTCACTGTGAGTTCTAGGCCAACCTGGTCTACATAACAAGTGTCGGGTCAGCCAGGGATGCACAGTGAGACCCTGTCTGGAAAGGGGTGGGATGGGCTGGAGAGATGGCTCAGCAGTTAAGGGAGTTTGCTGATCTTGTGGAGGTGACACCAGCTTGGCTGTGTTAGACGGTACAATTAATGGCCTGTAACCCCGGCTCCAGGGGACTGAGCACCTTCGGTTTCCATGAGTGTACGTGTGACCTACGCAAATCCCAACACAGACACGTATTTATACATTCTCCTAAAAATAAAATAGATGTTTGATAAATAAAAAAACAAAACAAAGCGCCGGGACGGAGTGGGGCCTGCTAACAGCCTCATCTACTTCCTGTCCTGGGGCCGGAGAGCTCCTACCGGCATCAGGGCCACACTCCACCTGGGCTCAAAGCCTCCAGGTGAGGCTCAGCTCCAGGCCTCCCTGCCTTCCCCACAGGCCATCTTGGTGGCATCGAGGGGCTGGTTCTGAGTTACGGCGCTGACATCACAGAAACTAGGGATTCCCCAGTACAGCCCAAGCTGGGAACATAGGAGCTGAGTTCCAGTCTCCATCCTGTTACTGCTATCCACGTGCCTCGAGTAAGACTTCCCTCCCCGTGGCTCCACCGAAATCAGCAAGTGCTGCCCGCAAGCCCAGGGTTCCCCCAAGCTCTGGAGAACCCTCGGGGTGTGGGAAAGAACTAGAAACTTGAGAGGTAGTCCTTTTTCTCTTGCTCTGGGTTTGGACTTCTCTATATAATTGCAGTGGCTGCCTTTGAAACTCGCTGTGGAGTCACAGTGAGGAAACCGAGGTCCAAGACAGGCAAGTCACACCCCAGGCTTCCTGGTTTTCATTTCTCACCTCTTACCACATCCCTTCCATTTCCTGTTTGTGCCAGCCTAAGCCACAGCACTCGGGATTCTCAAGCGGGTAGAGTTCAAGTTTGAGGTCACGCTGAGCTACATAATAAGACCATATCTTTTTGTTTGTTTGTTTGTTTGTTTGTTTGTCTGTGTTTAGTACTTTTTTGAGACTGGGTCTCCCTCTGTAGACAGGTGGGTTTCATAGAGATCTGCCTGTCTCTGTTCCTGAGTAGTGGGATTAAATGCATGTGCCACCATGCTTGGCTTGGGGCCTTATTTTACAAAACATGGATAGGTAAATAGGTAGGTAGGTAGATAGATAGATAGATAGATAGATAGATAGATAGGTAGGTAGGTAGATAGATAGATAGATAGATAGATAGATAGATAGATAGATAGATAG